CAGCTGACTGTGAACGGGAGCCCCGACGGGAGCTAGCACTTTTGAGACATTGCTACTTTCTTTCCATCCCTCATCACAGCTATGGCATTACGGTCATGTGGATTATTTTTCTGTCGTTGAAGAAAAAACATTTTGCCGACCTCAAGTCCATTACGATAACCATAATGAGGCATGCCGACGGTGGGAACTTGTTGCATCATAATTTTGTCAAGTGTGTGGGTGCGTGAATAAATCATGTTAATGAGGTCGACCAGAGTTTATTTTCAGTCTGTTTTTTATGTATCGCCATTTGGATATGTTTATATATTCACAATAGTTTATAAACATTTCACATCAGTAATAAAAGTTTTTTTTGTTTCATAACCCTATCTGCTATTCTTCAGTAATTACGATGCGATGTATCAATACGTGCGTGAACAAAATTATGCTAATGAGGTCTTCGCCTTCTTGGATTACAAGCGGTGGTTTTTCCCGACCGTTTCGACTTGCACTGATCACGGTTACTAAAAATGTAACCGTGCATTGATTACAATATTTACCATGGTTTGTAGTCAATTTCAGTGAGTAATACAACTTCATTCGCTGACATAAAACAAGTCTTATTCTTAAAATTCGACCCTGTGTCTTAGTGTTCCCGCAGATCTTGACCGAGTGCTCACGTTTATTGAAACCTCGCATAAATCAAGAAATAAGTACGTGTACAAAGTGTACGAAAGCATTCCTTTATTTGACCTTATCATACGATCACAAAAACAACTTTTTAAAATCTTTTTTGGGGTGGTCCTCGGGTAAGCGCCCACCCCCATTTTTTCCCGATTTTGTACGTTCAGGCCCCTGGGCGCGTGCCCGGGGTAATATGGTAAATGAAAAGTCAGGGCAAGGTATGCACTGGCGAAATGTTTTTTATTCGTCTCATGCCACTGGTTCCTTGTGAGTGCAAAAAGTTTGTATGTGAAATATTGAACTGCCACGCATGCATAATTTTAGAGATATCATAAAAATATGTTTTACCTTGTGAGCTGGAATACTTCTATCATACTGAATGACAGAATGTCCTGATATACTTGCACACTGGTGTACTATGACCCAGAGTAATGGGGAAACCAGAATTGTAATTACAGCATATGTCATGTTGGGAGTGTGTACTAATCCTCAGCTGTCGTTGGGTTGATGCATGGAGCTAAAAAAAGGAGACCGAACTGGTTTTAATCCTACTTGAGTCTTTTGTTTTCAGCTGATTATTCTTTTGTGTTTACACGCCTTTTATGTCAATGACTTCTGCTGACTGCCGTCACACTGGTTATTCAGCCCTCTTCGCCTTTGTGAGGTGTAACGATTATTTTTGTTCTGCGCAGTTGACGTCAAAGGTTGGTGAACATGCGTGTAGCGGTAATTACGGAAGAGTGCCATCAGTTCTACAGGTCTGCGTTTGAGTCATGGAAATCGGACGGGTTTTCAGCAAGTTGTTACAATTTATGTGGTTCTCATAATGTCGAAAACATTGCTCACAAGAAATTGATTTTAAAATCAAATACTTGGCCGCAGACGATAAATTACCACTGATATATAGTGTTTTCCATGTACTTTCCAACAAGCTTGAATTGAAGTTAGAGCTCCCATGGCCAAATGCACAATCGCGTTTTTCATTTCTGTTTATCTGCCCTACTTTCTGCGTGAGCCCTCATAGACAACACGTGCTTTGGGAAAAACGACACGTTAAATTTGAGCTCCGGTAAATTCTATTTTTTCGTAGATTTTGAAAGTTAGTTAAATAGTAAGCTGACCTCTTCTACGTCATGCTAGGGTAGGTGCCATTAACGGCATATCATGGCCAAACCGGCAAGTTAACGATACATTGATTCCATCACAATTACTTGTGTATTACACATCACCAATTTAGAAGTTACTGTGTAATTCTGGTCATGTTTTGTTCCTACTTGAGTCGTTTTAAAGTTTTTTCGTCCCTCACCCTGCTTTGTAATAACGACCGAACTCATCTGAGAACGTCTGATCATATCTAATTAAATATTCACGTCCAGTAAACCCCTGATAAACCCGTCAAGTGTTATCTGTTGACCAAATAGTCGGCAGAAGTCATGGTAACAATAACATCAAAGGGAGTTCACTCTCCTTCTTTTTTTAGCTCCATGGTTGGTGTGGATTGTTAGCTGTTGTATATATCTAGTAGCATTGCTTATGTGTGGGCTTGGAATACAAAAACAACATTCAGTACCATATCAACATGGTGAAACGTAAACTTCAATTGACTTCACTGTGATGACAAATACGTTGTGGATACGGAAAAAAGAGCCCGAAGCATGTGCACTACGTACACAATATGCTAATAACCGGCTGTTCCCGGCTCTGTGCATCTAGTTACTGAAATTAGATAGGCCACTATAATGGATTGTTTTTGTTTAGTGTCAGTCGTTTGATTCTTAGTATATATAACATATTAATTAGTGTTTTCAGCTTGTTTATTATGTATCATAGCAACATTTTGCATAATTAATTTGCATAGATGATTTTAACATGTTGAATTGATCAGCCCATTTAATTTGCATATTTAGAAATTTATTAATGCACAGAAACACTTCCAATTCCTTTTCAAATGTATTGAAACATGGGGAACCAGTTCTAAGCATGAGCAAGATCAAAGTTTAAATGCTTGTACCAGTATGTTTGAAATACAATACACATGAAAGATAACAAGATTTGTTTCATATTTAAGCACTTTGTAGATTGTCTAGTTTGAAGAAATCCACTTCTCTGCATTTTTTCGCACCCCCTCCAGAATTTGGAATGCTACAACCCTCTGTCTTAAGTTTGTTAATTTCACTGTTGGAAAAACTGTATTGTTAAAAACAGTTCAGTATTCAGTTGTTGTCTTTCTCTTTGTATAGGTGTCCCAAGACTGTTGAAAACTTCTGTGTTCATAGCAAAAATGGATATTATAATGGACATATTTTTCACAGAGTAATAAAAGGATTTATGACGCAGACAGGAGATCCTCTTGGTAAGATTAGATTAATTACCATATTTGGTGTATTAGTAGCGTAAATTACAGAGATTTTTGTTTGAAAAAAATATGTCATATTTGAATAAATCAGTATACAAATGTTTTAAATGTGCAAATACAGTAATACCATTCAGGCACCATGTGAAAATGGGATCACTTACTTTGCTACTGTGTGTTTGCTCTGCCTTTTTGTACATTTGCAACATTTACTCAGAATTCAAACTAGTCTAATTAGTTCTTTTTCTATTCTCCAAAAACCCATAAAAAATATTATATTATTATTTGACATGCCTGGATTGATTACATTCAAATGTACAGTACAGGCTGCCTGAAAGAATTTGTTTTTAATGACACAATCCTTCCAAACACAACTGGGAATAGAAAGAAATTCAAGCAGTTTTTTCTGTTCTGAGTCTGTTCATCTCGCGCCAATAAAGATCCTTCTCTGTGTATGTAGTGCATCACATCATACCACTTTAATTGTCTGTCATTCTAGGCACTGGAACTGGTGGTGAATCAATATGGGGTGGTGAGTTTGAAGATGAGTTCCATCCCAACCTAAGACATGATAGACCGTACACAGTGTCAATGGCCAATGCAGGACCCAATAGCAATGGTTCTCAATTCTTTGTGACAGTAGTGCCATGTGTAAGTACAAATGCTTCTTTTCACCCTTGTAAAGCAATTCATCCTTTTAATAAATATGAAAATAAAATCACTGTAAATGCTCCTTATATGTAGATTTTCTCTGCTATCCATGCACGCTATCTGAATAACAATACTTGAACTGCCATTTCAACTGTACATCTTGAGTTCCGAATAGCTCCATTTGGATTTGTCGCAATTTGTTCAATTTTAGATTTTTTTAGTCCCCGTTCGGACGAAGTCCAAAAACGGGGACTTATAATTCGGCCTCCGTCCGTGCGTTCGTGCGTCCGTCCGGAGTCATATCTCAGAATCCCTTGGACCGATTCCGTTCATTCTTTGCATGTGCCTAGTACTTTATGTGGAACATATGCACATGCAGTGGTTTAGCGATTAGATTCAAAATGGACGACTGGCAGCCATCTTGTTTTTTGAAAATAGTGTATTTTGGACATGCTTTGGCAGTTTTCTTTCAAACTTGGTACATAGATTATACATGTTAGGATACATGTCCATGACGATTTATTTCACAATTGGATCAAAGATGGCCGACTGGCAGCCATCTTGTTTTTTGAAAATGTCGTATTTTGGACATGCTTTGTCAGTTTTCATTCAAATTTAATACATAGATCATACATGTTAAGATACTTGTCCCCGGCCGTCCGTGAGTTCCTGAGTCTGTCCTTCCGTGTTTCCATCCGTCCATGCGTCAGTCTGTCCAGAATCATATTTCAGAATCCTGTGGACCGATTCCGTTCATTCTTTGCATGTGCCTAGTACTTTATGTGGGACATATGCACATGCAGTGGTTTAGCGATTCGATTCAAAATGGCCGACTAGCAGCCATATTGTTTTTTATGAAAATGTTGTATTTTGGACATGCTTTTAAATGTCAGTTGTCATTCAAACTTGGTACATAGATTATACATGTTAGGATACATGTTCATGACGACTTATTGCGCAATTGGATCAAAGATGGTCAACTGGCAGGCATCTTGTTTTTTGTTTTTTTTATGCGGTATCTCTTTATGCGTGCTCTGTCAGTTTTCATTCAAATTTGGCACATACATGTACTTTATACATGTTAGGATGCATGTCCATGACAATTTGTTTCAAAATCTGGTCAAGGATGGCCGATTGACAGCCATCTGACTTTTTGGCCTACTATATTTCCACAATTTATGTACCATTTTCATTCGTATTGACACGTACATCATACATATCAGTGTGTTTCCTAATCAGATCAAAGATGGCCGAATAACGGCTGTTTTTATTTTTGGCCATATTACTACCGGTACTACACGGAACACGTGTTTTGATGATGTAAATAAACAATCTGTTGTATACGCCACTTGGAACTCAAGTTTCAAGGACAGGCTTTAATATGATGAGCACAAAGAGAACTTTCAAAAATTTAACGGGGACTGTGTCATTTTCAATGACTTGTGTTAAAATTAAGAATGGAAAACCTTTTATAATTGTACATCACAATGGCTTAAAGCCAAATATTTTTATATTTTGTTTGAAAAGGCACATGCTAATTTTATCTCCCTTAACTGAGGCGACCTACTTCTTTATCCTCATTTAAAGCAGCCCTGACACTAGCATTCAGAAACATAGGAAAGTAGAGAGTGATATGTCATATGTAACGGTAATATAATTGATGTCATTTTTAGGATGCTTTCAGCACTGCACTGCTGTAATAATATTGTAATTAATGCACAATAATATGAGGTTATTACAAGGACACTGAAAAGTATGCACAAAGACAGTACAATGGGAGTATCGACTGATGCACAGCGGAGATCAATGTGACGGTGTACTGTTTGAGTGCATACTTTGTGGTCATGGGAATTCCAAAATCCAAAAAGTTTAGAACAGATTTAACAAACTTTTTTGTCTGGAGACCGGTCAAATGCTGGAGGCAGCCATATTTGTTTTTATTATTAGAGGACGCTAATGCACATAATCGCTTCGTACTTGGAATTCACATTTCCTAATATGGTAGAATAAAAATACACAGAGCAATACCACCAAATTATGGCACGCTGTAACTTACAGTGACAGATGTATAATAATAAATAATATTTTTTACTATCTTGTCTCTTTTCAGCCATGGCTTGATAACAAACACACTGTGTTTGGACGTGTAGTAAAAGGAATGGAAGTCGTACAAAAGATCAGTGATGTCAGAACCAATCCAAAAACTGATAAACCATACGATGACATCCGAATAATTAGCGTATCATTGAAGTAGCCAATTATGATGGCTGGTTATAAGTTGTTGGTTGCTAGTTATTGCCGATTAAAAATTGTTTTCAGCCTGTTACTGCTGGTGATGATTTGGTCATAACTAGTTATGATTGCTGGTTATGAATTGTTTGTAGCAGTTACTGCAAGTTAGAATTTTATGTAGATATTCGGAATTGCTGCAAACACTCAGCTTGACCTAAAAGCTAATCACATTAGCTAAACATCACACATACTATTTGCCATCTTCAACAGTCAAATATGAACCTATCAGAAAACTCCATTCATGGTACGACTGTTTATTTATTTATGTAACATTCTCTTGTGTAATCTTCAGATGACTGGAAATGCTAGCTTTGAAGACAAATGTGAAAGCGATTTTTTTTACTATATATTCTGTAAACATTTGATACTCAAAAATAAAAGATCTTGGAATCATATTTTTACAAGAATAGAATGTCACCTTTGTTGAAGTCATTTCTGATGTACATTTGAGGTTAATTAGACTGTAATAGCAGTCATATGAGTGTGTAAACTGGTTGTGAGTACTCTATATGTATGTGTAGAACTGTTTGCTTCTAGCAAATTAACAAGCAATGCCAATTTGCTACCAATTACACAATACATTCATGTAGAGATATTTAGAATGAGATGATTGTTTGTAATTGTAAATCTTGGTCTGCACTCAGTTGGTCTGTGCATGTCAGTGAACAAAACAACAAATATATATTTTTCCTGTAGATTTTTTCCTCAAAACTTTTACTTTGAAGATTTTGTTTGCCAAAATCCTCCCTCTTCGACATTTTACTGGTCAGCCTTATATTGTAAAATTCAAAGAAAGGAGAGTACAGAGTCTGGTGAAAGGTGCATGTGGAGTCACTGCAGGGTTGCAATGTGCTCGTAATTTAAGGTAGTGAGATTTGTTCAGAGCGACAATCGTTCTGTAGTAACCTATACGAGAAACCATTTGTTTTAGCTCAAGTATTGCCTTCCTTTTGAGAAAACAAGGGGAAACGTTGAATGGTCTATAGAGGGCGCAACCACCAACAATTGTGTTTATGGTCCAGATTTTGATCACAGCTGATCCCTGATCCACATAAGTGTGTTACCGTGTATGTATCGAACAGGGAGTAAAGTATAGTATAGAGCGAATGTGCACGTCATGGGTGTGAATATCATTTTCGACTTTCTGTCATCGGCCCAGAAGAACGTTTCTTTCTTGGACGACTTTGCTGAGAAGTTGCCGAGTGTAAGAACATGGCAGGTGATTGTGGTTTTCATATGCAGCGTGATCGTCATACAAGCTATTGCGATCGTCTTCAAACTGTTCAAAATGAAGAAGACATCGGAAATGGCATTCAAACCGTTTGCAACTCCATCCCTTGATATCTTTAAAAGCCCAATCTTAGGACATTTGGGTTTGGTAAGTATCGGATGCATTTACCAAACCATGTACTAACACTACGTCCATGACCAAACTTACTGTAAAATACTTTATATTCAATTAGAATCTATTTTCGCCGAGGGAATGAAAATAAAATCCAGTGAAAATATTTTTTTTCTATATTTCGTATTCAACTAACAAAAATCAGTAAAAAAAACTTCGTGAACAACAGCCAAATGACTTTTCAACGAAAATTAATTCCAGTTAAAATAAAGTATTTTACAGTAACAATTAAGAGACCCATATAATAAACGTTTTGGGCAATCCCCAGAGGACAGAAAATGATGTATAAATCACCATTGGATGAGGTTTGTATATTTTTTTGTGTGATTTCCCAATGCATGTCCGACATTTGTGTTGATAAACATTGATTTTCCCACAAAGCACGGTTAGTAACCGTGCACAAAGGTATGAATTTTGACCTGAGTGTGACTTGCTCTAATTACTGCTTGTGACTCCTTCGATACCTTCCAATCACCGTCTCAGTTTGTACTCATTGATCTGCGCAACAGTCAAAGTCGCCATCTTTGTTTATGTGAGACCCATATAATTTTGATATGATATTAGTTGTGTGAGAATTATTTCTGTTTTTGTTTTACAACCATAAAATTACTCTCTGTTGTAGATTTTCTTGTTGAATAAAATTATATATCTCGCGCATGCGTGGCTTATGACGGCCACAACCCTTTAAATTACACTAACTGAATCTTTAGTTTACTAATTTAACATTTACCGGTAATAATTAAATTTAATTTAACATTTTCAGCACAAATCATTTTTGTCGTTTATGTAAATAGCTCTTTTATGTCACATACATTGCCAACATGATTAACTAAACAAGATTTCACGATAAATAACATATTTTGGTCATGCAGTTTTAAGTGACACAGAAACATTCCATCTGTGAACTACTTTCAAATATAGAATCCTCCAAATAAATCTTGTGGGCCAGGAAAAAAAAGCTTCTGGTCACCTTGTTTGAAATTTGATTGCTTGAAAATCTGTTGTTGTTTTTTATCAAATTTTGACAAAAGCTTGAAAGCTTATGTGTTAATGTAAAAATGGTTTAGTAGATTGACAAATCAAAAGTTCATATATCATAATTTTTTGCTGATTGTACTCAAATGTATAAAGGGCATATGATATCTTACTTCTATACCATCTGAATGTTTAATCTAAAGGTCAATAAACTTTGTAACCTACAGTGGTTTGGAAATAATGTGTAACTCATTGTCTATTGTGTGTGTGCAAGTACAACAAGGGAGAGACGTAAATAGAGACAATTATTTGAGCAAACTTTTCCATCCAATAATTGCCTGTATGATTTCATCTTGCTGAATTCTTGCTAGACCAAATAAAACAAGTTTGATGTTTCTGCTATCAGTTTTGAAAAGTACTGGGTAGCAAGGCAGGGATTTTTACTATTTTTTTTTTTTTATTATACCGGTATTCTCCCAATGATTTTCAAGATGATAAATATGACAAGATTTTCTTAAAGTGAATCAATCGTAGTGGATTTGTCCATTGTTTGAACTACCTGACCTCCAGGACCTTGCATTTTACACATTAACATAATGTAACAAATCTTGTTTTCTCCCCTCCTGAAATAAATTAGTTACTGTCCAGCTAAACATGGGAAAACAATAAATATTGTTGATTACAAAATATATGTTGATTTTTCCCAGCTGTCTGTGAATAAAGATGAGATTATGCAAATGGCAGGTGATATCACTCATGAATTCAAATATGCACTACCGTTGTGGTTAGGACCATTCCAGGCAGCGTTAATATGTCATCATCCATCCACTGTGCAACCAATATTAGCAACAACTGGTATGTAAATAGAAATCTACATCTATGTATTGTCAGTGGTGAAATAAAATGGGGTCTAGAGTCATTATTTGACTCTAGATAAATTACGTACCTTTGTCATGTGTATTCATATCAGATCACTTTCAAAATAACCGAATAACAGCCATTTTTTCTTAATTAATGCTGTTCTGTTTTTAAAATATATCATATCTCTTCAGATTTACACACATATGCAGTCATGATCCAATTCAAGATGGCCAAATAACGACCACTTTAGGGATCAAAATTCATCAAAATGTTATATTTCTGCAATTCTAGAACTGAATCTCATTCATGCATTGAAAGATTTTGTTAAACTGGGTACAAATATTGGAAATAATGGGGCCTTAATGGCCTGAGACATTTTTCCCCATGGTTTAATTTTTTTTACTCTCATAAGACAAATTGGTTCAAAAAATGTAAGAAAATACAAGTGATAATTCATAGAATCCATGTGAGAACACTGTTAATGTATGTAATTTTGTTTTTATTAAACTTGTAAATGTCATGATTTGTTTTATGTTGTTTTGTTTATTTTTGTTAAAATTCATAATTTTAGAACCAAAAGACGATTTCAGTTATGGGATGTTGAAACCTTGGTTGGGAGATGGATTGTTGATCAGTAGCGGAAACAAGTGGTCAAGAAATCGCAAACTACTAACTCCAGGGTTTCATTTTGATATTCTGAGACCCTATGTGAAGGTATTCAATGAATGTGCCATCACAATGACTGTAAGTTTATTTTTTTGATTTGACCACATTTCACATCAAAATCTATACTGTTAAAACATTTAATTTTCACTGCTTGAGATTTTTGTTAATAATTCAGGATTTTATGGCATTAATAAAGACAATATTGCCTGAAAGTCGCTCACACTGTGTTGTAGACCCCATCATAGACCATTTTCACCTCATAAACCATACCCCATTATAAACCAAATAGTGATTTTCTATATCCCATCAAAGACCAAAATGTAACTAAATTTATTCAGTTATAGCATAGACACTATAGTAGGACTATACCGTCTATGGTTGTAGGTTGAATTAACTCATCACCCAGGCTCATCAATCTCAATGATAAATCCAAGAGGGAATAAGAACAAAAGTACTTACTTTTCAACACACAGCATTTTATTTGATTCACAAACAGTTCTTGTTTGACAAAGAGATCAGAGACTTGAAATTGTAGGAGGACCAGGAAATGATCAGTAAACTCAACAACTACTTTGTGGACATTGATAGATTTTTTGGTAGTACACTGCACAAAGTATTAATGTACCACTGTCATAATGCCATGCAAGAATCATATGTAAAGCTTTGATAATTTTGCCATGCTCAATTCTTATAAACCAAATAAAGAAACTAAATTTGATGCCCATATAGCATACCAGGTATTATGAGCAGATTTGAAATATTTTAAAGAATAGTACTTAATTTTTACTAATTTTGATATCAGACAAGTCACCTGCTGGTGATCTCTAACAAAAAACTGGGATATTATAGCAGCCAATTTAGTTTGCTGCACATATAGAAGTCAGCATGGCTGTATGATAGTGTCATTAAAACACAATGTTTAGACAACAGTAGATGATCAGCAATAGACTTGCTCACAAACAATATTTTCAGAATTTAACAGTTCTGTCTAAAATACAGTAGGAGATGCTGATATTTATAAATACACATCAAACATCTTTAAAGCATGAAGTAATTAAGCCAAGGAGAATTAAACCAATTTACTCTGTTTTTTAAACACACAGGCATATATTTCACTCTCCATTGAACCCAATGATGTTTATAACACATGTGCTAGATAAGAGTGAACACTTTTACCAATATACTGGTATAACTGGGGTTTGTCACTACATGCTATTTGTACAGACAATATAAAACCTGAGGTTCTCTTTTATATTTCATTTAAAGGTTATAATTATAATCTGACCATATTGCAAGTGACATGTTTTATACATGTTTTTGTATTGACCAACATTATTGATAGTTGAAATGAATTTGTTTGAAAAACATAAAAACTAAATCCAACAATCATCACAGTGAAACAAAGGGTATTCTAACTTCCTCTGTACAAAAAAATAGGTATACTAGTACTATAAAATCTGTATTAAAAGCTGCGGCTTCTATTAAAATGATACAATGCAACAGAGGGGATGCGGCTTCTATTAGAGCATCTACACATATGAGAAATGGTGAATTTTCGGGCGTCAATTGTTCAAAAAGAATGGGTCCGGCTTCTATCAGGGATGCGGCTTCTAATACAGATTTTACAGTAATACAAAATAATAAAAGGGAAAAAAAAAGAGTTAATCATAATAACAATGTTATAAGTTAAATTTAGAGAAGGTGTTGGTGTCTTAGTTGCATACATAATTTGTGCCAAATGGAATTAAACATATGTTATTGTTGTTCAATAATAATACTATGAATTTGTTTTCATTCACTATATTTGTTTTTCTCTACTGCTTCAAATAAGCTGTTCCTTTGTGTCTGGTATCTGCAACATGTCATTATGAAATGATATTTATTTTCAATCTCGTTATTGGAACACAAATTGCAAATTTTCTTTTCCACTGCTGAGTGTGGCAGCTGTTTTTTTAACCGAGGCAATGGTTCCTCCTGGGGAATCTGAATTTTGTTAGAATTGTTGCACATTTTATTGACTTTATGTATAACCATCAAAGAAACAGTCACATGACAGCGCCAAAATTGGCTGTTTATCCTTGGTCTATACCTCATTAATATTTACGATTTTCATTCAAACTTTTTACCGTACTTCCCCGAGTATAAGCCCCTCCCCGAGTATAAGCCCACCCCTAACAGACGAATATACAGTCCCCTGATCCAGGCCCCCAAAAGAAATTACGAATCTGATGGGTCAAACACCACAGCAATAAAAATGAATGAACAAAATTCAAGTAAACATTTATAAAATTACTATTAAACTTGTCAATAATCTCTGAGATTCTCTTACTTGATCCAAGGACTTGCTGTAAAAATATTTCGATCTCGACAATTGTCGCCATGTTGATGACTTCACAGTGTATGCGCTCAATTTGTAACCACTGAAACACATTGCATTGTGGGGCTCATTAATGATGGCCGATGGTTGCAGACTTTGGTCGCTATATGAGAATGTACCAATAAAAACTCAATAAAAGTACAAAACTTGGATAAATACATGGAAATCAAAAAAACAGACCCCATCCTAGACCGGCAAACCTGATATTGGACCAAAAGGCAAATGAATCTAAAGCCTCATTTCAGACCAAACAGCTGAAAATTACAACACAAAAGGTGGCATGTCCCCATAATGTGATTTGCATTGAGTAACCCTCTGAGGGTGTGGTAAGGGTTGACTAAATATTATTTTTAGACTTCAGTAATGCTGACTGATGACCATTGTACATGGGACTTCCATGTGATTATCAATGATATATTGGCTGTATCACATACAGTAAAAATAGATAAAAATATGGATTTTATTTTATTATTTCTTTGTAGGATAAGTGGTCTACAATGTGTGACACTGGTCCTCTGGAAATGTTTCAACATATCAGTTTAATGACTCTTGATAGTCTGTTGAAGTGCATATTTAGTCAAGAAAGTCACTGTCAAACTGATAGGTATAAAACACTATCATGAGTATTATGCAATGGACCTGAACGCAACTTATCTGCAAGTGATTTAATTTGTAACATCTGCATAAAATGTGTATATTCTATACTCTCAGTATCCACATTTTGGCAATCATCATTTTACAAATAACACAGGAAGTGTTTTGTTAAAAATAAAAATCTGAGAAAAAAGTTTGATAGTTATTGCCACTTGATGGCATTATCCTGCCTATTATTATTTTGTCTCTGTTCAAATGAATGGTGATGTCAAATGGCTTTATGTACCGTATTCCCTACCCTGGTATATTACAACTCCATTTTGAATAGAAGTGCACTCAAATTGAAAAGTTTATTTAATTTATACTGGATCTCAACAAGGAAAATACAGTATAAATTATTTTCACAATTGACATATATCTAGGTCATTTGTTTAACCTCTTCACAACCAGTTTCCTCATTTCATCACATATCACAAAATTATAGTCCCTTTTATAGTCTGCACTTTCCTTCAGAAGTTTTGGACAAAAATTGCCAATTTTGCTTTAGTAATAACTGATAATTGACTTAAATTTTGTCTGTTTGTACAAAAAATAGGGTTCGGTTTCAGAAATAATGAAGAAAATAAAAAAAAAGTGCAGACAAATTAGAGCGAGAAAGTCTCGTGGTGAAAAGGTTAAACGTATGCATACATTTGGTTTGGATTCAAAGACATTGTCAAATGTGATGCAAGTGAATGACAAATTATTAGTCCCCGTTCGAACGCAGTCCGAAAACGGGGACTTATGTTTTGCCCTGTGTGCGTCCGTCCGTGCGTCCGTGATCACCTGTATCTCGAACATGCATGGACCGATTAAGTTCAAACTTCACTCATACATCACACATTATATGGGACATATGCACATGCGTTTTCATGATCCGATTAACGATAGCCGAGTAGCGGCCATTTTAAGGCCGAAAATGCATCAAAATCGCACATTTTCACCATTCCGGACCCGGATCTCAGTTATGCATGGACGGATTTTGTTCAAATTTTGGTACATACATGAAACATAATAGGACCTTGATGCACGTCATTTTTTTTTTTTGGATCGGGTTCGAAATGGCCGACTGGCGGCCATTTTGTTTTAAAGAATTCAGTTCTGGATCCGTATCTGAGACATGCTTGGATTGATCGAGT